AAGTAAAAATAGAGCAATCTAGAAATTAGGGAAAAGATATAGGAGAGAGGTCTTGGGGTATAGAGTCACCACTAAGCTTCACTTTATCAAACACTAGCAATTATACATTAATAGGGAAATTTAAATTGTAACTTTGTGTGTGTGTGTGACATTAATTGAAACTAAGCATGGATGGAAAAAAAGTATAGATTGTTTAGCCAATTTTAATGAATAGTACAACCTATCAAATGGGACCAAGATTCCATTCAATTAAATCACAATTAATGCGCACACAAATATCTAAAGATATACAATCTGAACATCAAGAAATAAGAATGGATTGTTCACCTACCTAAAAAATTAAAGCATCTACACTACAACTAGGCTAGAAACACGAAATTAAACTAATTAAACTAGAGTTGTGATACAATCCATCAGGAAACAAGTGTGAACTATCAAATAAATCACAAAAGTGTTCCATTAAGCACCATGCTTTGACCATCACTAGATTAACATCATCAATACACATAGACATGCATCAAATTCATTAAATCTAAAGATAAAAACATGAATATCAATTCTAGCATACATAGACATATAACTAGAGCTAAATGATCAATTGAAATTTAGGAAAAAAATATCAATTGAAAGCATTAGTACATACAAATCAAGTAGAAATTACAAGATCTATATTTATTCATGGTCAAAATATCTATTACAACTAAAATCCCCAAAAATACACAAAAGCTAGGTTTGAGAAGCAAGCCTAGGGGCTATCTCTAGCCTTAAGAAAAGGATTTAGCCACTCATTATAGTGGACTTGGAACCCTCAAAGGCTAGCTTGGAGGTTGACTTCATCATCTTCATCCTTACTTTCTTCTCCAAAACCTTAATTCTAGAGAGAAAAACTATCTATTCTATAATTGGTAAATGTAATAAAAATAATCTACTACAATGATGTTCAATAAATCAATTACACACTCCTTTGAGTAAGGACCAAGTCAGAATAATAACCTCTGATTGGAGGAAATTCACAGCTATGCACGGTAGGTAAAAATCGGCGCGCTCGAGAATTAGACAGCTTACTACCTGCTGGCATTTCGATCGATCGAAGATTTTTGATCGATCAAATACTTAGCTTCGATTGATCGAAGATGAAGTGGCATCAAAAATATCTTCGGGCCTTATCCACTTTGCTGCGCTGGCACCGCCTTCATTTCGATCGATTGTAGACCATTTCGATCGATCGGGACTTCCCTTTGATTGATCAAAGTTCCTCTGATGCAATTTTCTTGGCTTATTTCTAACTTTGCTCCTTAACTCTAAAAATGGTCTAAATGGCTCTTGTTAGCCTGTTTGAACATTATTCACCTGAAACAGGGAATAACACAAATAAGTATCTAAGACATAAAAGTAAGATAAATGAATGGACTAAAATACCCTAATTTATGTGCTAAAATGTGTCACATTTGAGCACTCATCAATAATCGCACAAAGAACCCCAAAAGTGAAAATGTCCCCAAAGTGAAATAGCACAAATACCCACATGAACGTATAATTAAAGAAGCATGCAATGTTACACAATTAAACTATGCTATAAGGATAAAATGCACTAAAATGAATGCATGAAGTGTCGAGAGCCATTCTCAGACACTTGACCTTGTCTTAGGTCCACACAACCCAAAGACAAAAAGAAATAAAATAAAATAATAATAACAATAAATAATAATAATAAAAAAAATTAACTCGGAAAAAGAAAAGATGAAACGGTCATCATATTTATAGTGAGCTTGTGTCTCACTGAATCCCTTCCGCATTTGATTCAATCTTTAAATGCCATGTGTCAGCATCTGAACGGTTCCATGATTCAAACTTGGGTGGCTAGGTGGAACTGTCTACAGGGTAGCATTCCTTTTGAGTTGTTGGAACAGTAATCTCGTGTGGCAAGTTCCCCTGGAAATCGCCACATGTCAACTTTCTATTTGTCCAAATTTGTGGTATTAACATATTTAGTTAGTGGTGTTGTGTGCATTATGTTCGCTTGATGTAATGAATATTGTCTCAATATAATGGGTGTAGAGGGTTCGAAAAAAATAGAGTAAATTACACTGACCCTCGTTCATGTTTAAGTAAATTATACAAAGATATAATGTTCATTGTTTATTGTCAATAATACCCTTATATTACAATAATGTATATAAAAGAAATACAAAATTGTTATTTTATAAAATTTAGTCATGTCTATCAACGAAAAAAAAAAAAAGAAGAACAAGAATAAGAACAATATAAGAGTATAGTACATAATTTGATCAAACCTCATAGACTCGGGTAATAATTGTGAGATATAATTTTTATAATTGGCTAATTTTGATGTCCAAATGAGTCTGATCGAGTTATAATTTTCAAGTTATCATATCAAGATCGAGATCGGCTATGGAATTGAAAGGTTGTTCAAGTTTGATAAACTATGATTTACAAAAAAGGTATGAACAACACTTTAGGAAGTTGTTTCCCACTTAGGACACTATACATACATGGCATGTTTCTTCAAATTTTTCAAAATAGAATTCTTCCAAACTGTTAAGCCTTCCCTTACAGTTTAGGATTTTAGGTTCATGTTATGTCTAAACTTCCTATTTGGTAATGACTTCCTTCTAAAATCCTATGTATGAAATCATGAAATTAACTTGTTTTCCAAGTACAATTAGATTTTCAAAAGTCTATAAATATATGTTTTCTCTCTTAAACTTTTAGGACTTAAAAATATATATTTTTCTAATTGAGAGAATTATTTGAAAGAGATTTTTATTTAGAAAATCAATATGATTTTTCTGATTTTATTTTTTAGAGCACACACATAAACACAAGAGTGATTTAGGAGTATTGTTTTCTATCTCATTAGAATTGGAGCATAATTGAAGATTTAGAAATTCTAAAAAGCATAATTCATTCATTCTTCATCAAATTCAGATCTTGAAGAAAAGGGGTGAAGCGATCACACTTTAAAGGGTTAAAGCATTCGTGGAGTGTTGTTTGATTTACGTGCAACTCTTTTACAGAGATCAAGAGTAAGCCTAATGTGGAGGGAAAAAATCCCCCCTCTAATAAAAATCGTCCACGTCACCACACTACAAATTCATATTATATACAGCAAAGGCCCAAATGGTATCAAGCCCAGATTGGGAGAGCCCAATCTAGAATAAGCCTGGGCAGAGTCTTTCTTCCATATAGATCGCTGACTGAGGCCATTCGGCCCATCTACTAAGCCCAGATGTGTACCATCTCATTCAGGCCCAGTGAAGACATCAACAGCCTGGGGCGCTAAGGTTGAACTCCAAGCCCATTTACCAAACTGTTTAGATCAGCCCACACTCAGCCCAACGTTAATTAAAGGCAGACCAATCCCACTAGACAAAGGATTCAGCAAAGAAAGCAACTTCTGTGCAAGGAAAGTTTTGCATGGAAAGAATTGTAAAAATGAAAGGATTATAATTGTAAAGAATGTCATGTATGGAACGGATTGGAGGACAAGCCAGGCGAGTCCTACCATAATTACACCACCTTGTTTCTTATAAATAGAGGCCTATACCTCCAATAAAATCATCGAGCATTATATGCTTTTCTCTGAGTGTTATAATTGCTTATTTTTTAGTGAGTTGTATTTTTCTTTTTATTTATTTTAATAAAGAGAAATTTTACACCTACACTTTGGCACTGTCTGTGGGAAACGTATAAAAATATATCCCCACTGTTGTTTCAAATCATTTCTGTTACTACAATTCGGAATGGCGAATAGAGAATTTGCAACGGCAGCTGATTGGCAGATGGAGTTAACGCAAAAGATGCGAGAAGAGTTCTTGCACCAATTCGAAATACTTCATCAGGCGAACGAAGCCAGTGTAGCCCAGATTGCATTGCTTCAACAACAAAACGACACCCTTCAAACGGCTATGGCTCAGTTGACACCTCAGCCACCACCAGTTGATGGGGCCGTGCCTCCTCCCAACCAAAACGCTCCTCAGGTTAACGAGCCTTAGGTCAATGGGGTACGGTCTAATGAAGCTCAGCCCAATAAAGTTCAGCAAGAGTAGAGGACAAGGTCCTAAGCGGTTGCTTTAGACAATCTTCCTCATCGCATGTAGGATGAACAGGCCGAGTCCAGCCGTAAGCTTACGGTATAGTCTAATGGTATTCCAAATGGTGCAGAAGTAAAGGAGGCTTTTGACGAGAAGAGACTCCTGAGAGTTCAAACGATTGCCAAGATGGCCAGGGAACATAAGAATTTTCTAGTGAAGACCCCATTCACTAATGATGTATACCTTGTTGACAGACCTAAGAAATTCACTATGCCTTCCTTTACCCAGTTTGATGGTACGGGAGATCCTTCTCGGCACCTAGATCACTACGCACAAAAGCTGGCTCTGGATGATCACAACGATCCGTTGATGTGTAAAGTTTTTCCTAGCAGTCTAATAGTAGCTGCGCTAGAGTGGTTTAGGAATAGGCCACACAAATCCATTCCAGACTATGAAACTTTATGCACTATGTTCCTAGCGCAGTATTACGGAAATAAGAAGCAAAAGAAGAGTATTACTAGCCTCTTCACTATAAGGCAAAAGAAAGGCGAAACATTACAGGATTTCTTGTCCAGATTTAACATGGAGGCTTCAAAAATAGCAGATTGCCATCCTGCTACCGCAATAGAAATGTTCAAACTTGCAATGATTCAGGGAACCAAGTTCCATACATCCCTAGTTAAATATTCCCCTCCAGATATGCAGACTCTCAATGCTAGGGCACAGATCTACATCCGGCTTGAGGAGAATGTAGCCCACCGAGCGCAACATGCCACCCTCGTCACAGTGGAGAACAAGCCTCAGGAAAGGGTTTCAAATTCAAAAAGCTGAAAAAGCCAGCACGCTTCAACACCAATCATTCAGGTACCCGAGAAAAGGCAAAGGATAAAGGAAAGATTCACACCTCTTCGTATAACCTTGGCTCAGCTATTCCAAGAGAATAAGATGAAGTTTGCAGCCCCTCAGCCAATAAAGCAACCTTTGGAGCAGAGAGACAAGAACAAGCACTGCGCCTACCATAGAGATTACGGGCATACAACTAATGATTGCAAATCCCTTAGGCGGCAGGTGAAAAACATGATAATGAGAGGTGAATTAGTAGACTACCTCACAACAAAGGAGTATGTGAAGCCCCGAGAGGTCAATCCCCGAAAAGTCGAAGGTAATCAAGTGAAGGTCATCCATCCAATACATAGAAGATCGGAGGATGATCAAAAGTCAGGGGAGGTATATAGATCCCGACTGAGGATAGCTTATAAGCTAAGAAGGTTATCCTCAGTGAACACTATCACTACGGGAAGCGTCAATATTGTGTTCGGCGATGGAGATCTATCCAGAGTTCAACTCCCTCACGAGGATCCATTGGTCATCAGTCTCTTGGTGGCGAATTGCATGATTAAGAGGGTTTTAATAGATCCAGGTAGTAGTGCCAATATCATCACAAAGGCAGTCTTTGCACAACTGGAGATTCAGTCATCATCAATTCGGCCCACCTTTAGCCCCTTGATGGGGTTTGATGGCACAAAAGTGGACCCCCTTGGGGTAATTGACCTATCTATGACTACAGCAAAGAGGACACTAAAAGAGAACTTTGTTCTAACGGAGATCCATCCTTCTTATAATCTTATTATGGGAAGAGGCTGGATCCACTGAATGAATGGGGTTCCATCTACCCTTCATCAAATGATGCGATGCTTGTCTCTGAACGGTAAAGAGGTTATTAATCTTAGGGAAGATCAAGTTGCTGCCAAAGAATGCTACATGTTGACACAGAATGAAGCAAAGAAGGTAGCAAAACCGTCCCAACCAATTGCGCCTCCTGGGAGTATGTCCAAATAGCAATTGCAGAACCCTCTGCCCAGGTATTTGAAAGCAGAGGATGAAGCTGAAGCTGCAAAGCCTATTGAGGAGTCTCTGGAGGCTGTCGAAGTAATTCTTGGTGATCCTCAAAAGGTCACTTATATAGGTTCTTCCCCCATAGCCGAAGAAAAGAAAGCGTTAATTGATGTCATTCGACAGAACACAGATGCATTTGCTTGGGAACATTCAGACATGGTGGGAATCAATCCTTTAGTCTCATGCCATAGCCTGAAGGTGGATCCGGCATTCAAACCAGTCAAGCAGAGGCACAGAAGGTTTGCTCCTAAGCACAACCGAATTATAGCTGAAGAAGTAAGCAAATTGCTTCAGGCGGGCTTCATCCAAGAGGTGCACTACCCACAATGGCTCTCTAACGTGGTGGTAGTTCAAAAGAAGAATGAAAAATGGAGGGTGTGCATAGATTTTACTAATCTCAACAAAGCCTGCCCTAAAGACATTTTCCATTACCCAAAATAGATCAGATGGTTGATACTATCACTGGTTTTGAAAGGCTCACGTTTCTTGATGCATACTTTGGCTATAACCAAATCCTTATGAATCCAGAAGATGAAGAGAAAACTGTTTTTATAACAGAGAAAGGCACCTACTGTTATAAAGTCATGCCCTTCAGACTCAAGAATGTTGGGGCAACTTACCAATGCCTTGTTAACAAGATCTTCCACGAGATGTTGGGAAAGATGGTCGAGGCCTATATCGACGACATGGTGGTCAAAAGTGTGAAGAATGAGGAACATCCTAAGCACCTCCAAGAGATATTTGATACTTTGAGAAGGTATGATATGAATCTAAACCCTTCGAAGTGCTCTTTTGCGATTTCTTCAAGTCAGTTCCTTAGTTATATTGTAAATAAAAGGGGAATTGAGGTGAGTCTGACTCAGGCTCAGGCCCTTATATAAAATCAAGAACCAAAAACCCGCAAGGAAGTACAGGTTTTGACCGGCTGAATCACAGCTCTCAATCGATTTATCTCTCAATTGTTAGATAAGTGCAAACCATTGTTTGATGCAATAAGGTCCAAAAAAAAAAGACATATGGGGACTTTAACAGCAGGCTGCTCTCAATTAACTAAAGTGCTATATGGCTGAACCCCCAATTCTGTCAGCTCCGAAGCCTGGTAAAACTCTTATCATGTACTTAGCAATCTCCAGCATAGCCACGAGTGCAGTGTTGATTAGAGAAGAAGGGAAGAACCAGTATCCAGTCTTCTACACCAGTAAGACAATGACAGATGCAGAAGCACGATATAGCAAAGTAGAGAAGATCATACTAGCATTGATGTATGAAAAGAGAAAGCTTCGACACTACTTTAAGTCGCACAGCATCAAAGTTCTTACCAACTACCCCATACAAGTCATTTTTTCCAAGCCAGATTTATCCGAAAAAATAACTAAATGGGCAATCGAACTTAATTCCTTTGATATATCCTACGAACCAAAGGTGTCACACAAAGGACAAACATTAGATGACTTCCTCTTGAAGTATGAGGATAAGCCCGAAAAGCCAAGTCCTCCTGAGCCACAATGGGAGCTTCGGGTGGATGGTTCCTCGAACCTGATTAGTGCCGGGGCCGAAATCATTATCATAACCCCCGAAGGCACCAAGTTGCAGCAATCAATCTGTCTGACTTTTCCTGCCACTGACAACGAGGCAGAGTATGAGGCCTTGCTTGCCAGGCTTTGGTTAGCAAACTAGCTCTAGGTAAGGTGTCTAAAAGTTTTTAGTAATTCTAAACTTGTTGTGAATCAGGTAATAGGCCAGTATCAGCCCAAGGAAGATAGAATGAAAGCTTATAGGGAGGCTGTGGAGAGTGCCACATGAGGGTTTGATTAAATCGAATTCTATAAAGTACCTCATGAGGAGAATTCTGAAGAAGATCAGTTGGCTGCTGCAGTGTCTTTTTCAAATAAAGATTTAGTCCGGATAGTACTAATTGACATCTTGGACGAACCAAGTATAAGCACTCGGTAGGAGATAATGCTGATCCCAGATGTTCCACGTGAGCCATGCTGGATGGATCCATTGGAAGCTTACCTCAAGGAGGGAACTCTTTCGAACTAGAAAACCAAGGCACAAAAACTCAGGCTCACTGTAGCCAAATATTCTATCATCAATAATCAATTGTATCGGAAGTCATTCTCATGTCCTTACCTGAAATGTTTAAGTCCCACCGAGGCTCTCATGATTCTGAAATAGATTCATGACGGGGATTGTGGCAACCACTTTGGCGGCAGGTCCTTGGCACATAAAGTCCTTACTCAAGGCTATTTTTGGCCATCCCTGGCTTGAAATGTTGAAGAATACTCCCGAAGGTATGACAAGTGCCAGCGACATGGCCCGATGAAACACCAGCCTGCAGAAGACTTGCACGTGATGGCGAATCCATGGCCATTCGTACAATGGGGGATTGATATGGTAGGTCCTTTACCCAAAACAGTAAAGCAAAAGGAATACATGTTGCTAGCCATGGATTACTTCACAAAATGGGTGGAGGCAGAGGCTTATTCAAGTGTAACCCACGAGTAAGTAAAAAGTTTTCTATGTAACAACATAATATGTCGATTTGGAGTACCAAACGTTATCATGATGGATAATGGTCCGAACTTGGATAACAGAAGCACCAGAAATTTTTTTGCCGAGCATGGGATCAGGCAAAAGTTAGCCGCAGTTAGCCATCCGTAGGAGAAAGGGCAGGCTAAAATAACTAACCAAACCATTTTCAGCTGCCTAAAGAAAAAGTTGACAACAGAGAAAAAAATGAAAGTGAATAGTGTCACAAAAGTGAAAATATGAAAATGACTCGGTCTTCAAAGGAAGTCGTCAATCCAAGGAAAAGAGTCTCGAAAACCATCCCTGAGCACTCAAGATGACGTTAAGTGACGAGAAACCGAACTCAGAAAGGAAAAGATCAACGGAAAAAAAATATCCGTGAAAATCCGAGAAAAGGAAAGGAATAAAAATGACCGGGTCATTACAACCTTCCCACCTTAAAAGGATTTCGTCCCTGAAATCCAGCCCCAACCAACAAAAGGCGAAACCAGGAAAACCACAGAGTACATCTCCGAGTATCCAACACAACACGCTACACCAGCGACCCCAAAGCTGAAAGGAACCCCACAACCAAGTGTCATTTGCACCCACGTTCTTATGACCAGACAACCTCTCAAAGGAAAAGTGACTACATGGCCACATAACAAGTTAGAACTCACACACAATACCCAAGGTCAGACAAGGGAAAGGAAGACAACAACCGAAAGCATCCCTCATGAAAACCATCAAACGGATCCAAAACACATCCACCAAAAAGGACTCCAAAATAATCACGTATCCAATCAGGGCACAGAACAAACACAACGTGGCAGTACGAATAGTAACCAAAACCCACCCACGACGCACTCAAATGTGTGGTAGCAATGACAGTACCTAGTACCCGCCCACACTTACTCTTCAGTAAGGTAGCATCGACGACAACTAGTACTCGCCCACAACACACAACTTTATACGGTAGTATGACAGTATAAGGCACTAGTTCATAACCTGCCCCCCACTAGGTCTACCCAAGAAACCTCTCGATACAAATGACATCAATGTCAAAAAAAAATGATCATTGCCAAAAGCACTACGGAGACCAACATTTTGTGAGATTTGAGATATAGTCCAAAGATGTCTGGCCTGACCATCCTGGCCAATCCCAAAACTCTGACAACAATGCTATAGGTACCGCTATGCTTAAGGCCCCAAATCCTCAATACAACAAAACCAACATCTCCAATGTCTCAAAATACCCCTATTAACAACATTAATCAGGAATCCAAAACCTGACAAGCAAATCAACGCCTACAGCAATCAAAACGAACCTCACGATAAGACATTTCATCGAAAGTCCTTCATATCTCCCTGAAACAGATCAACTACAAGATTACACCGTAATCAAACATCAGATCCGCATCCCTATTATGGATAACTAAATCCTCAAAACACAAGTCCACCAAGTAGCACACATATCAAAATTCTGACAACAATTAAAATTACAAAATGAGTCTCTCTAAACCGTACTTGGCCACATGAAGCTAAATCAAAATTCCTCAATTTTCCATCGATCCATAAATGATCACTAGAACTACGATTCCTTAAAACTACGCCTAGTCATAACTAGGACGAGAAAGCTCCACAAACAAGCCAGATCTAACAACGATCTTTCAAAACTCCTCCCAAGAGTCAACCACATCAAGGTCTCCAAAACTGAAACAAGTCTCTAAAAGGCATCCTCAAAAGAGCATCGAGCTCACCTCATGAATCAAACAAATCCTTAATGATATGGACATAAGTCCCCAAAAAATGATCTCACACCAATCCACTCACTCAGAGCACCACAACCCATCAACAACCACGGCAAAAACTCCCCAAGGGAAGACATGAAATAAAGGGAACCACCAGTCCTAAGAAGGACAACACCACGACTCCATCTCTGAAATGAAAGACAGCAAGGTCAAAGACTTCACCCCTTATATGGAAGTAAGTCGACCAAAATCCATCAAATCCTCACGAAGGACTCAAGACAATGATAGTGATCCTCACGGACCAACCAACCCCAAAGCTGTGCACACTGCAACAAAGAGAAGAGACTCACTCCTTGTGAAGTCCCTAACACGAACCAACACAAAACCCTCGTGGAAACCCGCATACACACTACGTGCGATCGAGGGAAATGAATGGGGAAAACCAAACCTGGAAGTTATGCATATGACAAGGAAATGTAACTACCAAGAAATAAA